TACCAGTGGACAAATTTTCTTTAACTACTTAATAATAGTTACTTATTTCGTCTTTTTTACTCTAATCTAATTTGAAAGCTTACAAATTTTCCACAAAGAATGACTACAAATAATCCACAATAATTACGTTCCAAGACGAATTATTGTTAAATGATTAAACTCAAGAACTTTAATTGGCAACCACCACAGATATGTACCAATACACAGATGTATTTTTGAAAATAAATACATATGCATTCCTCTAATATGAGGTTAAAAGAATAAAACCTTATTGTACATCTACAGGCCCCGCCCCCTCATTTGACACCTAATTATAATTTTTTTATCCAACGAACGGTGAAGATTTTATAATATATATTAGGCATGGGCAGCGCTGGCAGAACTCCATAGCATGTGCAAAAATGTTGCACTTGCTTACTTGGGGTTTACATATGCAAATTTTGCGAAGACAATAGCAATACATTCAAACTTTCTACTAATATATTCACACTTCTGTCATTGTCTTCGTCACTGTCTTTGATTTTTCGAAGACGGTGAATTGGACAATTCGGTCACGTTTTGGTTAATTTGAGAAAGAAAGGCAAGTCAAAATCGCAAAAAATCGCAGATTTATAAAAAAGTGGTTTGTGTTTGGATATTTTAGGAAATAATATGAAATTCACGCCAAACTACACCAACGGCGGTTGCTGAAAAATGTATTGTCTTTTTAATTGTCTGGACGCCTAATTTACACAACTATTTGAAAACTAATACATATTCTCAATTGTATTGTCTCAAATTGTCTTATGTAAACGCAGCGTTATGGAGTTCTGCCTGCGCTGCCCATCACTGATATACATCGTCGTTTAAAGTACAAAACCGCGTATCAACAAAATGCAAAACCCCGTATTGATATAATGCAAAACCGCCTATGTGAATTTGCATAAATTATTTTTTAGAGATTTAAAACACTCATATTTTAAAATGGTTCTGGCTAGTATATTTCCAGACTATTTGATAAGGATTGAGCTAAGACTTGTGTGCATCGTACAGTTTCATAAGTAAAAACACTATCAGCTGATTGCCAAAAAATGCCTACAGCGAGATCACCTGTTTTTTGGCATGTGCTCTTGTCTGTTACAATTTCTTTCATTTCTATTACAATTTCTTTTATTTCTATTACAATATATTCAAAATACACTAACACACTGAACCAAAAACACCAATACACTAACCAAAAATACACCTACAGCCCGCCAAACACACACCTATAGCCTGCCAGGCAAACGGTAAGAAGAAGAGTTACTTCACTTATGGAACTGTACGATGCTTGTGTGAGTAAACCCAATTTTTGGCATCAAATGTCAGTTACGCGGTTTTGCAGAATGACGATACGCGGTTTTGTACTTTAAACGATGATATGTGGCAAGGTGGCAACCCTATTCAAGCAATAAACGCTTATTGCACATATGTGGCTACAAAATACCGTTGATTTTTGCCAATCTTTTTGTTGACGGTGCAGTTAATTTTCTTCCATATAAAAAAAATTTGGAACATACTTTGCATGGAAGAAAATGAGTGACACCGTCAACAAAACAAAATTGCCAAAAATCAACGGTATTTTGTAGCCATATGAAACTCACACTTTATTATACTAAAATTGCAAGGGCTATGAAAATTCTTAAAAAAAAGTAAATTTTTGGTGAAAATTCGTTGAATGTTTATAATCTTTGCACAAAGTTTCAAATGTGGATTTGTATGGTGTTTGTTATAGAATGACCTATATTTTTAAAAGGAAATAATTGAAATTAAATAATATGAAAATTAATAGTGAAAACTTGTTAATATGTGGCGGTCTTAAAATTATGCAACTGAGTGTAGTATAGCTAGCCACACCAACTATCCGCGAATGTTTGACGCTGCACTTACATTGACTTATGANAGGGCTGTGTTCCAGTTGCAAATGTTTTGTCCGATACTGTAGCTACATACATGAACGCACGCTGTTTGGTCCGCCAATGCATGCGCGTACGAACAACAGCGGAANAATGCGAACTACAGAAGTGAACGTTCGCGAACGTATTGGCGCAACTTATAGCTACATACATGAACGCACGCTGTTTGGTCCGCCAATGCATGCGCGTACGAACAACAGCGGACATTTTTTCTACATAACGGCCCGTCTCCACAGGCAAAAGTTTTTGCCTACCAACTGTCATTTTTATTGCTTGACATAAATTTAATCAGAGGTAATATTTGTGCATGGACATTTTTTATCTTGATAAAAGCATTTGTAAGATGGCTATTTTTGCCGAATTTAATCACTTAGGGCCAGGTTTTTCAGTGCCAGTTTAAACTTAGATTAAGTAAACTCAGTTTAAATCGAACAACTGGCTGACATTTGATTGGCTGATCTTAGTTTAACCCAGCCATATCGGGCGTTTAAACTGAGTTTAAACTACGGCCCTGCACTGAAAAACTGGCCCTTAAAATATTTAAAAAATATGCTATTTCACATCCAAGTACATAATACCAAATATTTTAATAGAAAACAGCTCACTTTTTGCTTTTATACTAAAATATCAGTACTGTTGCCACCATGAAATCGCGCAAATGAAAATGTAGCTGTCAAAGTACCAAATTGCTGGNAAGACGAATTATTGTTAAATGATTAAACTCAAGAACTTTAATTGGCAACCACCACAGATATGTACCAATACACAGATGTATTTTTGAAAATAAATACATATGCATTCCTCTAATATGAGGTTAAAAGAATAAAACCTTATTGTACATCTACAGGCCCCGCCCCCNTTCTCCAGTAAAAAATTGCAGCGAGAGCGTAAAAGCAAAATAGAGCGTAACATTGAGAAGAAGAGAAAACTAGCAGAAAAAGTTATTGAACACAAAACTTGCAAGTGAATAGTTGTTGCACCGTTTTGACATTCTGCTGTAAACATTTTAGTTTTTATAAATCAGTTTTAAATTCTTTGCTTTACACACAAGCATTTACACAGTCCAGTACACCATTAATATTTTGATTTCTACTCATTTTACTTTTGTTTATGCTTAACCAATTCAACAAATGGCGGCTTTTGACATTTATGCTTCTTCTTCTTCTGCTAGTAAAAATTTCACTATCAAGAATTTGCAGCTCTCCCGTGTTATTACGCTCTCAATTCAGTGCTCTCTTGCAATTTTTTTGGGTTATCATACACTTTTCCAGTAAAAATTTGCAGGTTCCAGTACAAATTAGTACTGACTATTGGTCACCATACAAACCTAATATTTATCAAGATAAAAGCTCTGAAAATTATTGCTTGCCAAAAGCAAAATGCGGTCTCCTTTGGCAAAATTTTGCCTGATAACATTATCAAGATAAAAACTTTTGCCTGTGGAGACAGCAAGTACCGTTGGCGAACGAGAACGAATTAGAAAATATTGAAATGTACACGTTCGCGTATAAAATCCGAACCCTGCACACAAGCTTGTCGTGTATGGTATTGTGTACGCACTATTGCTCATTTTGCTCGTGTCGTCAAGCAGTGAACATCACGGAAAAACATCATAAAAGCATTGAAAAAAGAAGAAACTCCCATTTGGAAAACCAAAAGTTACAGTTACAAAAATAAAATTGGAATCAACAAAAGATGGAATAATTTATTTCCATTCATCCTAGCAGATGGGTTTTACGCTAGACTTGAGACCCGCCATGTAAAAACAAATGCAATCCAATGAAGAACTAAGAAATCAAAACAATTAAATTATGTAATTTTCGTCGTCTTTATTGCTTATAGACGTATTAATTTTGTTATTTCATGTTTTTCATTATAATATCTAGCATAAAAATAAAATAAATTTGATTTCATTATTTTAAACATAAAATGGTTTTTAAAGTTTTCCTTATGATTTTTAATACGTTTGTAAGTTATTATTTTTTATATAAGTATGTATGTATGTAAATATATGCATGTATATGTGTGTATTGTTACAAATTTTAAGTTACTACAAAACTAAACTACTAAAATTGTGGTTTGGATCTGTTTTGTTTATTTTATTTTAACATGTATGATTGGTTTCTTTTTTCTGGCGTGGAAACTATTTATTCTACGCATTTTTATATGCATGTGGCGTTCTCTGTAGCATTGCATTCGTAACTCTTAATTAAAATTAATATTTAATGAAGTGGAGGAAAGGAATAACATTTAACAAACATTAATTTAAAATCTGCTGTTCTTTTTCATCAAGTCGAGTTAAATAAAATGGTAAAAATTGGCAAAAGCAATGTGTAAAGGAATTGAACTATCTTTTGCGAATGCGAATAAAACGTGGTAAAGTTTTATAAATTAAAAGTTGTTACAAATTTAATTTAATTTTTTCGCAACACTTGTCCTTTCCTCCATTCATATAACATAAATATTACGTATGCACGTATGTATGTACATATATAATTTGTATTAAAGTACTGTACATTATATAAGCTTTTTTTGAGAATTTTCACGCCGTGCTCATGACATTTAAATTGAAACAGATTTGCTCTGCTTTCCTGATACATATGCATCGGGTTTGGCATTGCAAGGAGTACGGCGTGAAAAGTCTTGATTTCTTTAATTTTTATTTTGTGGTTATAAAATTGTAGTACTTATGTATGCGTAATTATACATTTTCTTAACATCTGATCATAACTGAATCGTTCCATTAGCATATAAAGCGGCAGCAACAAACCTTTTCTCGCTTGCACAATTCAACAACAAAAAAGTTTAAAACATGAACAAATTTACAATATTAAGTTGTTTACTAAAATTATATTATATTAACACAACATTTTGACTAATCGTAAAATTTTAAAAATTATTTTAATTTTAAATATACTAATTCCCTTTCCAATTTGTAGTTAATTCACGAATTTCTGATATACACCTTGTTTTCATGCAATTTCATTATCATTTCATTATAAAAAAATACAAGCAGCTCAAAATACAATAGCTAGTAGTTAAAAAGCGCAATCTGAAACAAATGCAGTCACGATCGATATGCATGCAATGGCCAATATCAACTACTGCTCAGTAGCCCTCTAGCATCCAGCCATTTTTAATTAAAGGAACGTGTGGATTTCCATGAGCCCCTAGCTATTTCATTTGAGTTAAGCAACAGTTTGGTATTATTACTCAAAGCCCCGAAAGAAAGGTGGTTCATTGAATATTCCCGTTAGTTCGTTCTCAGATACATACTTACATACATATGTACATACATGCAGTTTGGAACGGATGATGGGAACTCGTTAAAAATTATATCATCTCTTCACCTTTTCGGAAGAATCAACCAACACCAACAAATGTGTAGAAAATATGTTATTGTTCTATNGTTCTCAGATACATACTTACATACATATGTACATACATGCAGTTTGGAACTGATGATGGGAACTCGTTAAAAATTATATCATCTCTTCACCTTTTCGGAAGAATCAACCAACACCAACAAATGTGTAGAAAAGCGAATTGTGGAAAATATGTTATTGTTCTAGGTAAATGCTTTCCAGCAAGCAGATCAGGCCCGTCTGATTCCATTAAATAGAACGTAGAAAGTAATATTCGTCTTATGTATCAAATCCTCCATCTTGCTACTATTGCTACTATTACTTAACATGGTATAATACTACAACGGGCTACACCAAACTATTATATGAAATGTATCAATTCGTAATGCACATAGATTCGCAAAAATCTCCGGCATATTTAAAGAAGTACTTACATTCTTATTATGTATTTCTTTTGACATGTAACATTGGATTAGATTTGGTAGATAAGTGGAACACAAAAAATNTGATTCCATTAAATAGAACGTAGAAAGTAATATTCGTCTTATGTATCAAATCCTCCATCTTGCTACTATTGCTACTATTACTTAACATGGTATAATACTACAACGGGCTACACCAAACTATTATATGAAATGTATCAATGCGTAATGCACATAGATTCGCAAAAATCTCTGGCATATTTAAAGAAGTACTTACATTCTTATTATGTATTTCTTTTGACATGTAACATTGGATTAGATTTGGTAGATAAGTGGAACACAAAAAATCCTAGAGTACGCATATGTATATCAGTAGCTCGTTTCTGTAACTCTTCTCTACCGATTATTTCTCTACTGGTAGAGAATATACGTCATTCTCTACTACTGATTAGCAGTAGAGAACAGGGCGGCGAATTCATATCTCAATTCGTCTTGGTAGAGAATTGTTACAGAAACGAGCTACAGGTTTGATAACTGTTGACCATACAAACAAAACTTCATACTCAGATTTCCTAGATCAATTCGTGTTCTCAAGAAAAAAAGTTTTCTTGATCCAAAAATATGAGCATAGCGCCAAATTGTTGTTCTCCAAATTTTAAAAATTTATATAAATAGACAAAAAAACGATGAATTTTCAAAATTTGGGGGAAAAATTTGGCTGCTACACTCCGATTTTTTGATCAAGAAAATTTTTTTCTCGAGAACACAAATTGACTTAGTAAAACTGAGTATGAGGCATTGTTCGTATGGCCAACAGCTATCAAAACTGATATATGCGCACTCTAGGTTTTTTTTAAGTCCATTTTTGTTCCACAGTGTGATCAACGAATTTGATTCTTTGGATTTTTTTTTGTGAACGGTCTTGCAAGTTTTCTTCCATAAAATATTTATGTTCATGATGTTTGTGGTTATAGAATAAGCAATGAGGCTGTTCACACTGGCCTGGTTATCAGGTTATCTGGCTTAAAATTATTATTGTGTAGTGTATTTGATTGTTGCAAACTGAATAAAAAAATATAACCACATAACCTGATAACCAGGCAGTATAAAAAGTAATAAAAAAAGTACGTTGAAAGACATTATTAAAAAATCACACTTCAACTATTTTTTCTCGTTGCTGCATTTATATGATTCAAAGATTATTTGCAATGAAAACTTATTGTACAGTGACACTGGGCAGAATACTTTCAACATGATTTTCATTGGTTTTGTAAATGCAGTATCAAAGGCGGTTCAATTCAAAAACAAACAACACCAAAAACCAAATTTGCAACATCATTGATTATTTTTCACGTTTTTTCAAAAGTAAACTTTAATCGTTCATTAAAATATGTTCAGTTCAATTAATTTTAAGATATTTTTAACTAATTAACGGCATAAGCATCCTACTTTAATAGTTTTATTGACTAAAATTTAGCCCTAAAACGAATTTTGAAGGCGCTTAACATAGCGTAAGGATATTGACAGCCATGTTATTTGAAAATCAGAAATTAAACGCTTTGAAATCAGAATCCAACGTGGGCTTATAGATTTTTTGCACTGGTACAGGCGAAATTGCAACTGAATTTACACCAGCTTAACCACCAGCTAAATTGCCTGTACACTGAGGGGAAAAAATAGTAAAATCAAACAAAAACGTCTTTGACCCTACTAAAAACGTCAATGCAATACGCCTATATTAAAATGAAGCATTCGCACGGATGGCCTTTTGCACATTAAACAAAAAAAAATTAATTTGCATGTTGCCTGCAATGGAATTCGAACCCTAACCCTCTGGAAATCAACAAATTGTGGCAAGCATCTTTGCGCACTCAGCTACAGCCATACATGTAAACGGGCTTTCAAATGTTGAGTTTGAATCAACACCACAGCACGCGATTAGTGCATTTGTACAGATAAGCATGTACTACACTGCTGAGCATAACTATAGACGCTTTATAGATATTTAAGAAAAAATTGGTAATGCCAGGTTAACGGCCCTTTACATTTATTATATCAAATGTCCGAATCTATTTTTTAAGACCATTTCGGTAGATACGAAAATATGCATTTTTGAAGTTTGTATTTATCACAGTTTCTGAACATAAGGCAACTGTCCAGATAATATTTTCACGGTCAAGGATCCAACTTAGAAGAGATCGATGGATTTTAAGCTCACTGTAAGAATTTACGTAATAACCAACGGTATTTTTGACAGTGAAATTTCAGTGGTGGTGCTTCAGCAGATAAAGAATCAAATGGAATACTGCAGTTGTCAAGTACCCAATTAAACCAGCACAGGATGCCGCAGTATTTAAAACCTATCCCCTACCATTTTTAATCGCCATCGACGAGTATACTGTATTTTTCAACAGGATTAGGCTGCGGTGCATAAAGCTAGCGACACATTGTAATAGTTGCAGTAGCATCAGCTCCTTGTACTCTGGGCCAGAAAACTTACCAGAGCAAGCCAATTTTTGCAGTAAAAACAAGAATAATTGAGGATGGGAAAGTCCCGTGTGTTTAAACCAGGGACCGAACATAATAGTTATTGATGAAAACTGTCATGGAAAAATGCACTATGAAGGAAATGCTCTACAACTAAGTGAAACATACCGATCGATTTCGTTTTGTACCGAGACTCAAATTTGAAAATAAATTTTTATTTGCAATTTTTATGTAAAATTTAAAAAAGTAACAATTATATTTNTTGGAAAACAAAAGATTACTACGACTTATTCAAATGACTTTTATAAGTATGATTGAAAAAATAAAGATCAGTGACTGATTTTTATTTATGACTTTTATAAATAAATAACTGTTATTTGCAGATTATTTAAATAAAAATCAAAAATAATTGTTATTTTCGATTTATAAAATAAAAGTCAGAAATAACGGTTATATAAAGAGTAATTAAATAAAAGTCAAAAAATAATTGTTAAATAGTGATTTTTTTAATAAAAGTTGTAACTGTTACGGTCCCTGGTTTAAACCTAGTGCAGGGAGCAAGAGTAAGAATTTTTCAACTAATTAGAATGAGGTTCTGTTCACAGATCAATGCATTTAAGTTGTTATTTGTTGATGGTTTTAGACATTTAGCATTATTTAATAAAGCAGTTAAGCTGCGTCTATATTTATGCAATAATAAACAAGTAAGAAAGTTTCGGGCGGAGCCGAAATTAAATACCCGGCGCAAGTATTAAATATATGTTTTTTCACCTTTCCGAAACCTACCGCTAGATGGTAAGCCGTATCAATTTTGAGTAAATTAGCGTCCTTAAATTTCGAAATATTGAAGTTTCAAGCATTTCTGAAATTTGCAGTTATATAAGTGGTCGTAATTTTAATCTGATTCCAATAATTTTCAACGGTTTGCTTCTATGCGGCAAGCACAATAATCATACCGAGTTTGGTACAAATTAGTAGAACGGTTACCGATATACATACATATATGTGATCATAAGTGGGCGGTGCCACGTCCATTTTCCAAAATTTTATCATAAACGTATTTCTTGGTAGAGAATTGTTGCAAGCATTAATTTTGAATAAATTAGCTTTAATATTTATTGATTTATCGAAGATTTCGTATTTCTCCAAATTACCGTTATATGGGTGGTAGGCGTGGTTATAGTCCGATTTTAAAAATTTTCGGCCATTTGGTATGCTGTAGCAAGACTAACAACTGTGCCAAGTTTGGAAGAAATTGGTAAGCGGTTACCAAGATATACACATGTATCCATAAGTGGGCGTGGCTACGCCATTTTCCAAAAATTTATAATATTCTTATTTTTCGTCTAAAAGTTATTGTAAATACCAATTTTGAGTGAATAATCTTCAGTATTTCGTATTTCTGAAAATTACCGTTATAAGGGAGGTAGGCGTGGTTATTGTCCGATTTTGCCCATTTTCAATACCATCCGTCCTACGGCCGAAATAAGTATACGTACCAAGTTTCGTTAAGATATCTTAATGTTTACTCGAGTTATCGTGTGCACAGACGGACGGACAGTCACCGCTTAATCGATTTCTCTTTTCATTCTGATCATTTATGTATACATTTGTCTATATCTATCTCGATTCGTTTTGCCTGTTACAAACAACCGTTATGTGAACAAAGTTATAATACCCTTCTGCACAAGTGCGCTCGGGTATAAAAATAACATTTTTGATTGATGTGGTCCTCTGAGTTAATGAATGTCAAAGGTCGTAAACCTGGCATTGCCGATTTTTTGCTAAATTTCTTTAATGCGCCGCAAACTCGGAAAAATAAATGCGTCTATACCCAGCAAACCATTTTTCAGAGTATTCTGAATTGGAGAGAAATTTTAAGGAATTCGTAAAGATGTCATCCGATTTTTTGCCGCATTTCTAAAATGGAGTAAACTGTGCACACCCGGGTTCTTTTACGAAATTTCGGAAAAAAATCGGTAAAGCAATGAAAATAATGCTGATATGTGAAGAATTTCTTGCAGAAATTTTTCAGAATTTTCTTTATTTTTCGTACAGAAATTTCTTTACGAGTTCGTGTCAACCACTTCATATAATTTTCTTTGAAGATTCTCAAAAAAGTCGTTACAGAAATGAAATAATCCTAAAGATTTCGTTAAGATTTCGGGAACATAGGTTTGCAGGGTAGTTATGCTCCTCAGTGTATGTACATATGTATGTATGTGTTACCACAATTGTATACTCAAACACCGTGCGTGCTAAATTTTTGGTATGAAAGTATTATTTTTAAATACGAACAATTTTAAACGATAATCAAATAAAAAATATTCATTTTTACTGTGCGTTATTTCCCTCAGTGTATGGATGCACTCTTTCGAAATTTTTTTCAATTCGTCTTTCATCACCTTCTAAATAACTATAAGATTTTAATTTTGACACATTTTCTTACCATGCCTTCTTTTTAAAAAAATGAAATTTTTGCTTTTGAACCCTGGATTACAAAATTTGTTTCAGTAAATTTTTACAATAATTAGGTTTAAAATAGTCGATTTGTTGAGAAATATTAAACTTGATTTCGAACCTATTTTGA